TTGGCTCCATCCGCTGCTTCATCCGTCGACCAATTAAACGCCAACGATATATGGTTATTAGGAAGCCGGATATGATCTCGGTGGATGAAAGAATGAATTATGGGAAAGGTGAGGACGAGGTGATTTGTGCTTAGAGATTGGGTTTTGAGTTGAATATTGTGAGATGTTTTAGCTACTTTTAGACTTGTGTGATTGCTATCTTGCTTGAGAAGGATGTGAAAATGGGTAATTTGGGTTTGGTTGAGAAAGATATCATCTTGATGGGGATTCCTTGATGGGTTTTTTGCTGCAACTCCAGTAGAGAAGAGCTTGAATTTGATGATAAAAGGGAATGTGAGCGTCTCCAAAGAGGAGACTATGCGAAGAGGTTGATGGATGGGGAAATGGTTGTCTCTGTTAGAGGAGTTGCCATTGATTGGATTGCCAACTTTGGTTTCTATTTTATTTTTCTATTTCTTTAATATCTATTGTTTGATTAGATAAAGACTAAGTTGGCTTCTTGCTAAAGGTTGTGCCATTAATTGGATATGGACTTGGGGTTTTATCTTTTTCTTTGATTAAAATTTGTCTTAATCTGCTTGCATATTAATTTGGATGCTTTCAATCTTTTTCTTCACCAGTACTTTCCAATTGAGCAAAATCTCCCCCTTTCCCATAATTGTTTAAAATCAAAGGGATGTGATGAGGACATTGCACAGCCTCCACTTCGCACATACTTTCGTCGCAATATTATCAGCATGAATTTTATTTAAAATGAATTTTGTTTAAAATCTTACGGCTCAATATTATAAGCATGAATTTTGAAACGACGTGCGTGTATTCAGGAGATCAATATTATCAGCATGAATTTTGTTTAAAATGAATTTTGCACATACTTTTCCATAATTGTTTAAAATGAATTTTGAAAATACGTGCACATAGTTTTCCATAATTCTTTAAAATGAATTTTGCACATACTTTTCCATAATTGTTTAAAATGAATTTTGCACATACTTTTCCATAATTGTTTAAAATGAATTTTGAAACGACGTGCGTGTATTCAGGAGATCAATGTTATCAGCATGAATTTTGAAACGACGTACGTGTATTCATTTTGTTTAAAATAAATTTTGCACATACTTTTCCATAATTGTTTAAAATCTTACGGCTCAATATTATCAACATGAATTTTGTTGTCGATATAATTATCACAAGTTAAATAATTGATGTTCTAAGTTATAACAAACCGTGGGATAGAGTATTGAACATTACAAATTGGTCTCCTTGTTGATTTCTCATTTTCTATCGTATTCCACATTATCATTTAGCATCATGTTAGGTGTTAGAATTGATTTTGCATTTTGATAGATTGCATCTAGGCGAAAATTAGTTGGCTGCATCGTTATTATTAGGACATCTAGGTTGCATTTAGAAACTAATCTGTTGCATGCGCACCCATAGTGGAACACAATATTCTCCCCCAGATTCTAATTCCAAGATGGATCCCAACCTTGCAAGCCTCACAAAAGCCATAGAAGCCTTAACTGCGCGATTCGATATTGTTGAACAAGATTTGAGAGAGACGAGGGAACGTTTAGATCGAGTGACGGATAGTCCCCATGAACGTGATGAAGAAGACGGATCTCGAAACAGACATTATCCCCATCAACCTCATGAATACATAAGTCCTCACGCCAACCGTTTTGGAAATCGCCCGCCTAGAGACAATTCACCCTTTGACCCAGATGAGATGCATCTGAAGTACGTTAAACTAGAGGCACCCACTTTCGAAGGCCAGTTGGATTCTCAGGTTTTTATCGATTGGATGTCGGACATGGACCACTATTTCGGTTGGTATAAAATGTCCGATGAGAGACGAATTCGATTTGCCAAAATAAAACTTGTGGGTCATGCAAGACAATATTGGGCTAACGTTGAGAAGCTGATGACTCTTAGGAGGCAAGAGCCCATACAGACTTGGGATGAGATGAAATTGAAACTCCAAGAGAAATATTTGCCTGTATCGTATAAGCAACGCTTGCTCGATCAATGACAGCGCTTGACGCAAGGCAATCGACCAGTATCGGAGTACATCAACAAATTTGATGAATTTCTGGTTAGGTGTGGTGAGAGTGAATCTGACATTGTAGTCTTGTCTAGATTTCGCTCAGGACTTAGGGAAGATCTTAGGCGCGAACTCTTCGTGCGAGACATCTCCACTTTAGAACAAGCCTATCAGCTTATCCAAGATTTAGATCGATCGCAAGGTTCTCCTTTCACTAAACGCACAGACTATGGGAATACCATCAATAAGGGCTCCACTGTTAAGTCCCCACTTAATCAACCACAGTCTCAATCCCGAACTGGACCTAGTACCTCCACGCAGAAGCCAGATGATAAAGGCAAGGGAGTTTACAGCGAGTCACCTAGATCAGCTCAATCTACTCGATGTTTTAGGTGTCAAGGATTTGGTCATATTGCTGCTCGGTGTCCTAGTAAGACAAGAACTTTAATTGTTGAGACCCGATCGGACAGTGACCAGGATGACTTAGAAGAGATTGTCCACGACCCTGATGAAGATGTTTGGGAGGATGAACCTGCCAATGCTATCGTAGGATGTATTTTGAGCATGCTAACACCCTCGATCAACAAAGTGGACGAAATTTCCCGCCGACTTAGTGTTGTGAGGTGCGCATTAGCTCAACCTAGGGATAGTGATGACTGGCGTAAAACTACAATTTTTCACACAACCACAAAGATCAATGATAAAAACTGTCGAGTCATAATTAACAGTGGGAGTTGTGTTAACGCCGTCGCCTCTAACATGGTGACTGTACTTGGATTGAAACTTGTTCTCCATCCTCAACCATATAAAGTATCTTGGGTGAATACTGCATCCATTGAGGTTAAAGAACGATGTCTTGTCCCGATCTAATTTGCTACTTATTTGGACAAGATTTGGTGTGACATTGTTATCATGGATGTTGGGCACATCATTTTAGGTAGACCCTGGATATATGATCTAGATGTCACTATCTATGGACGATCAAACACCTATTCATTCGTCCATGATGGGAAGAGGATCAAATTAGTTCCATCGCGACCTCCCCCCCCCCCTATCTGCTCCTAAACGTACCGATTCTTCCAACAACCAAAGAGGACTAAATTTGATCAGCTCCAAGTCTCTGGACAAGGAGGTCGCTAAAGGGTCTACCGTTGTTGCCCTTGTTGCTAGGGAGATTACCGAAAACTCCCAATAGCAAATTCCTTCTGCAGTAACTCCAATATTAAAGAAATTTGCAGATGTTTTCCCGGAAGAACTCCCAAACTCTTTACCCCCGATGCGCAACATCCAACACGCTATAGATTTTGCTCCAGGATCTAATCTTCCCAACTTGCCTCATTACAGAATGAATCCAACCGAACATGCCAAACTCAAGAGGCAAGTTGAAGAACTGTTGACTAAAGGGTTCATTAAAGAGAGCTTGAGTCCGTGCGCTGTGCCGGCATTACTAACCCCTAAGAAAGACGGTTCATGGAGAATGTGTGTTGATAGTCAAGCAATCAACAAAATCACCGTGAAATATCGGTTTACATGAATGGATTTCATATTAACATACTTACTTTTTACATGAATGGATTTCATATTAACATACTTACTTTTTACATCAATATAGCAATTGTATAATTTTTCAAACCTAAGAGCAAGCTCATCAAAAGTAATAACATCATCATTGTCAAGCTCACATACCTCACTAGGGTTATCACCTAGTGGTAGTGTACATGGAGATGAGGCTTCTTTAGAACTCAAAGCGGGATTTTCCAACGCTTGTTGAATAGCCTTCAAGTCCTCTTGATGTGCTTCAATAAATTTCCATAAGGTGTAAGCATCTGGGTTGCATAACTTTTTCTATCTACTAGTTTCCCAACATCCATATAGAAAAAACTAATTTCAATCCTTTTTGAACAAACAAACTAATGATGATGGTGTATAGTTTCTTCTTTTCTTCTTCTCCTTTTTTTCCCCTGGAACAATAGTTCCGTAAAAAAACAAAAAAGATGAACTTGATCAGATAGATAACATGGATCTAATTTATTTCTAGGAATAATGAATTGCGAACAAAGAGCTGAAACATCACTTAAGGGTGGCAGTAATGATGAATAAGGCCATGAAAACAGATAAATTAGAGAATCTGAATGGAAAACACATGACATCCAGTGCCGATGATTGAACGTCTGATCATGGAGAAAGAGGAAAGGAAACGTGGGTGGTGGACATAATTAGTGCATAATTTGCTTGGTTGAGGCGGGATAGGGGTTATGGAGAAGTACATAAGATGTAAGTACATACAAGTAATCGACGGGAACTGGCTGATGACAAAGATATAATGTAGACGACTCAAAATACTTGCAAGTTGCAACAATGCACAATTGCCAGAGTTACGGTTAAACCTATGTCGATTTCTCATTGATAAACTCTACAAGTTTTACCTTTTCCAAACCTTTCATGTAAGTTATATCACTCTACAATGTTTACGCATTGATTCCCTATCCATAATAAAGCAATAGTAACAGTTTATGATTATTAACATCGTAAGTAAAGTACAGAATCAAATGACCTGAGTACATTTAACATAGATATGTAATTGCGTTACAAAAATACCTTTATTACAAATATAACATTAACGTAAAACAGCTTGGCACTTATATTAGTTGAGAAAATTGGCACCTTAAAAGAGCTTAAGCAATGGAAAAAATAATACTATATAAGTGTACAACACCAAAAGCTGATGTAAAAGTTGTTAACAAGAACCAAGAGTTTATCTAAGCAGTACAATATAAATGTAAAAGTTTTAGGTGAGCTTACTCAAGGTCTCCACGTTGAACACCGCAAAGAACAATAAATTACAGATACCGCAACAGTTAATGCTTAGAGGCAACGATTATGCAAATTTCAAGAAGTGAACAATCCCATTACTCCAAGGCTAACAGTCATTGGATATCACAGTTGATTCACATACCTTCACCATGTTGTTTGCTGTGACATTGATATAACATGCCAAACGACCTGGACAGAAAACAGCTACCTGAAAGCATTCCAATGGGTGTTAGCTCAATGATGCATTGATGCCATGATCTCAAAAGATATATTATATATCATAAAAAAAATTAATATTAAATAGTAAAGTTCAGCATCCATTGTGATCTAAGACCTGCTTCAGAATGAGAACACATCCAACTGATATATCGCCACCAAGGTTACTCTCAAGTAAGACGTTTCGATGGATAGAAGCTCCAATGATTCCTGTAGGATCCTAAAAGCGAGCATCATATCCATAAAGTCCAATTAACAAATTTAACATAAACCCCAAGTTTCACAAGTAGAGAAACAGTACCTTCAGGGTTATGAACAGATCACCGAGCCCATTTGGGACACAAGACTTGACGATGCCAGCCACCTGAGTACCAATTCAGTGAGATGCAATCAGATTAAATCAGATCCAGGATATTTTTAGCCAAAATAACCAAAGCTTTGGACCATTTTCACGACAAAACTTGAGCCGTGATAACAACCTTTGCATTGCTAGTTGTACACTTATGTGCCTGATTCATTTGTTCTACATTTGGGTAACTATAGTAATATTCTTTATAATAGCATCAACATGATTAAGCATGACAATGATTTCCAACCTCACATGATAAATGACAAAATTGGAGTCATAATTAGGTCAATTAAGTTCTCATCTAGAGGACAACATTACATGCCATTTTGATAACATCAAATATTCAAGCTTTTGACTAGATTTTCAGTAGTATTCCCTAGCCAAATTTGAACCTAAGAGAAGATGTTAGGAACTTTCTTTAGTATTTACCAAGACCAATGTGCTAGAAATGACTATGAACTGGCTACAAAATAAACTTAACAAAGTTACCACAATAACCAGAATACTTGCAAAAACTCTTATGTATTAGTACTAACATTAGCATTAGACCATAATGAACAAATGCAACGGACAATTTCAATAATTCATAGTAGTTATTATTTACATCAGAATCAACATGTAAATTTCTCACAAATATGAAATATTGTTACCCCTTAAACAGAGAACTCTATCCTGATACCTCACCTACTTATCTCCAACCATAATTTGAATAAAGAAGTTTTCAAATTTTACTCACTATTAACCAGCATGCTCAAGATGGCGACCAAAAACTAGCTAAAATTTAGCAGAGAAAAGGTAATCGGCTACAATTTACCACCAGATATTGGGCAATCTCAGCATGCTTTGTACCTATTAACATTAGCATTCAACCATTTTGTATAATACTAAATAACCGGTTTAAATAACTAAAATTTCACCTTAAAAAAATCCTGTTCTAATATGTATAAAAAAATAAAAAACAAAAAATAAAAACCAAAAGGCCATGCCACAGATTTCAAAACATTAATGATTTACTTGACCTGCGGTATTCGAACAGCTGCACGAGCATTATTCCTATCCTTGATCAAACTGATCGGCCACATCAGCTCAAATTCCCCACCTAATCCATCAAACGAAACCTTAACCACCCCAAAGCAAACAAAAGACACCTGAAATAAAAAAGACGTAAACATATGGAATGAAATGAAATCAGACAGGGATTCACCAAGAAACGCAGCAGCAGAAAGCCAAGGACTGAGCTTAAAGTCTCCATCTTGCTCCTCTTCTTCAACCCTCAATCTCCCTCGCGAATTGAGAAGACTGCAAGCGCCGGCGACGGCGGCCGAAGCTTTCCGGTGCATCGCCGCTTGAACAGCGCCGGCGGGGCCGGGGATCGGTCTGTGGGCAGCGTTTTTAGGGTTAGGGTTAGGGTTAGGGTTTTGGGAGCAGGGTTGGAGAGGGGGGAGAGAGAGGGAGAGGGGAGGCAGGGTAGAGTTGTAACTATTGGGGTCTTTGGAGGGTATTTTGGGATTTGAGAGGAGCGAAGGGAGGTCGGAGTCGTCGATGTCGATTTCGTCTTCCCAATGGAAGTCCTCCATTTCTTCGGTTCCCCAGTTGGGGGGCGCCGTACGGCTTATTCGGGGCTTGCTAGGCGGGAAATTTTTTTGGGGTGAATTTCGCGAATCAATTTGAGCTCAGGGGGGCGTGTTTAAAACTACTGAACTTTTTAAGTTTCACAAAGACCCTCTGCATTTTTTAAGAGTTTTATGAAACTTCTTGAATATTCGGAGTTCATCCTTTAATAGAGTTTATTCTGAGGGGAGATGAAAAATTAGGAAATTGGAGAATTTTTTTTGGCGGACAAGTGAAAACTGCCGGTCTTTCGGCTGCCTGAGGAGAACATAAAATGTTGAAATTAACGGGGTCAAATATGGTAGCAAATTGGGATAAGTTTGGAATCTTTTGCAGAATTTATAGAGTTCAAAATATTTTAAAGTTAATGGAGAGTTTCCTAAAATCTACGCTTCTCTCTTTCTTGATTGTGGAAAGGTGTGTCTTTGGGTGGAGGGTGCTCGAAAAACCAATGTTATTGCAATGTCTGATATGGCTGGTTAGGTGTAGCTGGAATATTATATTGTTCCAACTACATCCAAATTTCTAAGGTCTTGTTTGGCCAGATGTTGCATCGTTAAAAGATTGCTCTTAACAACAAAATCCAACCAAATAAATATTTTTAATTTGGATGTAGTTAGAACAATATGAGCTCTATTGATGCTGAGAAGCAAGTTATAGGATTGAGTCTGTAGGATTGGACTCAATGATGAGGGCTCAGTGTTCTCCTTTGATGTCTAATGGCGAGCATTCTCTGATGTCGAACTGAGATACAAAAACAAAGTTTTCAGATTGATGATGGTTGGTTGTCTACCGACGCCCCTCTGATACCTAAGTTAGACTCTTGATAATGAAGTAGTCAAAGCAATAAGTAAATCTAGGTTCGAGCTTTAATGGAGAAAGATCATAGATTGAAGGTTAGTGTTGCTGAGCCTTGCAATTATATGAGGTATTTCCTACCTTAGGAGGGGTATCTATACTAATTTCTTAGGACATGTTAACCTCTACACGTATCACCATCCTGATGACTGAGGTTGTTATGGTAGTTACTTGGCATGGCGGTACCTCGTTATCATAGAATGGTATAGCTGATGTATGTGAAGATCTAGTAAATTATTGAAGTTGGCAACTAAAGAGATCTAGTATTTGATCAATATTCTCCTCACATGATATGTAGGGGATATGACATGATCCAATTCAATTATCTTCAATTAGATAGACCGTTATAAAACTAGGCCAGCTTGGGGTGTAGGAATAGTAACAAACTGATGAGTCCGGCCAATAGGGGGTAGCAAGAGCTTTGCTACAGGGACCCAAAATATGGGACCAATAGGGGGGACAAGTGAGGTGTCCCCATCCTATTGGATAATGAGTTAGCCATCATTAATGATGGCCAACTCATTATCCAATAGGAGGAGGACACCTCACTTGTCCCCCCTATTGGTCCCATATTTTGGGTCATTGAGGAATTTTTCTTTCCTAAAATCTACGCTTCTCTCTTTCTTGATTGTGGAAAGGTGTGACTTTGGGTGGAGGGTGCTCGAAAAACCAATGTTATTGCAATGTCCGGGCATGAATATGTGCAATCTTCTCGAGAAATCACTGAGCACATTGTCTTTCACTCCCATCCTTGCCGTCCACTGTGGCTTCACACGAAAACACAAGATCAAATGGGCTCGGCGGTAAAAATCCATAACAAGTCTCAAACGGTGACTTTCCGGAAGATCCATGAATTGCCCGATTAAAAGCAAACTGCAAATATGGTAAACTCTCATCCCAAGTCTTTGGATGCCTGGAATTATACCCCCGCAATATATGCACCATAGTCCGGTTGACTACCTCCGTTTGTCCGTCTGTTTGTGGATGAAAGGCCGTGCTCTTCTTCAATTTAGTGTCCATCAAATTCCACAAAGAATCCTAAAAATGCACGAGAAACCGGCTATCCCGATCCGAAATAATCGAGCTCGGCAACCCAAAGTGCTTCCACACATGCTCAAAGAATAATTGTGCTGCACCCGCTCCCGTCACGGTCTTCTTACAAGGAATCAATATCACCATCTTGTTGAACCGGTCCACCACAACGTACAAATAGTCATGCCCGCGCTTCGTAGTCGGCAACCCTCCTAGAAAATCCATAGAAATGCTCTCCCACGGCCTAGAAGGAACCGGTAATGGTAGGTACAATCCCCTCTTTCTGTTAGAAGGCTTCGAAATACAGCATAACTTACACCCTCCAACATACTTGGTCACATCATCAAGCATCCGTGGCCAAAACACATGTCGCCGTAGATTGAGAAGCGTTTTCTGAATGCCAAAATGCCCTTGCACACGCGAGGTATGCGCTTCCCGAATCCACTGCAACCTATCACCATCTTCCGGAATGCATAGTGATATCCCACGATACAACAAGCCATCTTCTCCAAGTGCATACTCCCCCCTTCGACCAGCCTTCACCTGCTCAAACACACTACTGAAGTCCCTACTAGATGCATACAGCTGTACATACTCCAAAGGAACCAAGGGCTGAATACGCGTCGCCACCAATAAAGACCTTATCGGCGGACGAGATAACATATCGGCCAACTTGTTCGTCGCCCCCTTCTTGTACCTAATAATGATGTTGAAAGCCATCAAATAGGACATCCACTTCATGTGTCGTGCCTGCTGTAGCTTTGTCTGGGCATGTAAGAACTCCAACGGCTTATGATCCGAATGCACGACCACCTCCTTCCCTAACAAGTACACCCTCCAATGCTTAATTGCTTGATATAGTGCATAGAACTCCTTGTCGTAGGTTGGGTAGTTCGCAATAGCACCCAAAAACTTCTCAGAATGGTATTCCATCGGTTTCCCATCCTGAATCAACACCGCGCCCATCGCATAATTAGACGCGTCGGTCTCTACCTCGAAAGTCCGCTGCAAATTTGGCAACGCCAACACCGGTGCCTCCGAGATCTTCTTTTTTAGCAACTGAAAAGCCTCCTCATGCGTCCTTCCCCACTCAAACTGAACTTTAGCCTTTGTGAGGCCATGTAACGGTGCCGCATAAGTCGAAAAATGTCGAATGAACTTGCGCAAATACTGGCAAGCCCCCATGAAGCTCCTCACCTCAGTCACTGTCTTCGGCGTCGGCCACTTTGTGATCACCTCCACCTTGCCTGGATCTATCCTCCGCTGGCCCTTCCCTACGATGAAGCCGAGATACACCAACTCGTCCTTCCCGAACTCGCACTTTTTCCCGTTGAGCTTCAGCTGTCCATCGTGCAACACTTCAAATACCTTCTCAACATGAACGAGATGCTCCTCCCAAGTCCTGCTGTACACCAAGATATCATCAAGGTAAACTATCACAAAATCCTCTATAAAGGGTCGCAACAAATCATTCATAAGCCTCATAAAGGTAGCCGGAGCATTGCACAATCCAAACGGCATCACCAACCACTCGAACAGGCCTTGCTTGGTCTTGAACGCAGTCTTCCAAATTTCTTCCTCCCGAATCCTCACCTGATGGTAACCAGACTTCAAATCCAGCTTCGTGAAAAACCTCGCTCCCTCCAACTGGTCCATAAGATCATCGATCCGCGGTAATGGGTAGCGATTCTTGATGGTAATCTTGTTGAGTGCCCGATAATCTACGCACATGCGCCAGCCTCCATCCTTTTTGGGCACCAACAACACTGGTGATCCACAAGGCGAACAACTCGGCACAATCACTCCCGTCTCCAAGAGCTCCTGAACTTGCTTCTTGATCTCCTCGGACTCTAGTACTGATGTGCGGTATAGGCCTATGTTAGGTAAGGAACTCTCCCCGGTCAACATAATCTCATGCTCTATACCTCGACGTGGTGGTAGTCCTGTGATTTCCAAAAACAAGTCCGTATACTTGACCTTCAACCTGTCAAGATCTCCCTCCTGGAGCTTGCTCAAGGTGGACAAGCACATCCTACTCAGCTGCTCTTCATACGGCCGAATGAACAATAAAACGAACTTCTTGCCCGCGTTCACCAACCTCTTAGCCTGAGTTACTGTCACCAAGCTCGTCTCCTGTGGAAGAGATGCCGAACGAAAAATGAATTGCTCGCCATTCTTGGTGAACGTATACTTTTGGGCTCACCGATCATATACGGCGTATCTATCCCAAAATTAGGGTTGCCCAAAATAACTTGGCAAACATCCAACGGAACCACGTCGCATGTGACCTCGTCAATATACAACTCGTGGAGTGCAAATCTGAATGAACACTGGTTCACCACACTCAATCCCGCCTCCTTCTGAATTCACCCTAATGGATAGGGCTTCGGATGCTTCACCGTCTTCAATCCCAGCTTCTGTACTAATGCCTCAGATATCAGATTTTTCTGACTCCCTAGATCTACAATAGCATCCACTAAGCTGGTCTTGACCTGCAATTTCAGAACAAAGAGCTGCTCCATCGGGTCGTCATCTTCTTTGGTGGCCTGTTTTCCCGCCATAAGGTTGAGACTGCCATTGGGTTCGGTCATCCCGGGAACCTCCTTCGGACCCTGTGCTATTACGTACGCCTTCTTCTCCTCCTTCTTCTTCAACCCTTTTGGCTTCAGATGAGGATACTTATCCCAGCAACGATCAGCCACATGTCCTGTCTGCTTGCAGTGATTGCATGTCAATCCTGTTTTCCCCGAGTCAACCTTCTTCTTCTCATCCTTAGACTGAGAGCCACCCATCTTGCTCCCCGATGGTTTGGAATCCCCCTTTGTCTCATTGCCCTTCTTCTGCCGGCCCTCAATGGCAATGGCCTTTACACTCGCCTCTACGATGGTTTCTACTGAAAACAGCTTCATCTCCTTCCGGATGTAATCATTCAGACCCGCCATGTACTTCATGAAGATGGGGTACTCGGACGTTGCGATGTTTAGGACCATCGCCTGTTGCTGGAACTCCGTCGTGTACTCTTGAACGGTCTGATTAAACTTCTGGCGTAAGCCGTACCACTTGTACCAACGCTCCTCAAGGAACCCCACTGGATAGAACTGTTTCCGTAATAGAACTTGTTCCACGACGCCGCTTTCCTCTCCTGTTTGCAATAGGATTTCCACCACGTCAACGCGTGCCCGGAAAGCTTCAATGTCGCGAACACTATCTTCTCCTTGGACGAATATCCGTAGAGAGTG